TATGTCCAATCAAAAGTGAGAAAAGAAAACAAGGAGCATGGTAAGTATAAGCCCCAAATTAAGTGTTCCTAATGAGTCTTGACTTACTTTAATTATGACAAAAGAATTGATTTAAACTTGACATTTATGAGATGTAAATTCTTAAAATAAAATTTTCCCAAATAAATCCAATAATGTGTTATACCTGAGGCACCACAAAAAATAAAGACACAAAAAACTACAGAAAACAAAGGGATTTAAAATATATATTAAGCAATATGTAATAATTTAATTTAAGGTAAAAAATGCCCTAATGGATAAAGATGAGAATTTTACACTGAGTAAAAACTCCAACATACTAATAAAATATAATAATCATTAATATATACTCCCAATAATAAAATCTCATATAAAGCAAAAACTGCAATAGTCACTGGAAAAAAAAAAAAAAAACAAACCTTTAGTTTTAGTAGAGATCGTAATGTATCCATCTAAAACTGGTAAACAAAGCAATGAAAAAAGAACACAGAAGACAGGAAAAATATTTTTAGTAAGTCTGAACTAACAGACATTTTGAAAATGTGTAACTAATAAACATAGAATACATATTAGTTTTGACACAAGAATATATTTAAAAATCTGTCATGAATTAGGTTAAAAAGGCAGCCTTGAATATATTTTAAAGTATTATTTATTTTTGAACACACAGATCATATTTTCTATAACAATATAAGAAATTAAAAATGAAGAGTAATAATATCCCATATAATTGAAAATTAATAATCTTATGTCCAAAAATCAATGGGTTGAATAGTAAATAGCTCAAATTTTGAAATACTTACAGTTACAAGATTATGAAAGCACTGCATACCATAATTTGAGAAACAAAGTGATGATACATGTAAAGTCTAATTTATAAATAGAAAAAATTAACAGGAAATAAGGAATACTAAAAAAATTAGTTAAGCATTCAACTCAGAAAATAAAAAATAAGCAAGAGAATTTTAAAACTAAGAAAGAAGGCAGCAATAAAAACCAGAAATCAACAAAATAGAAAAAATGTGAGAGAAAGGATTAACAAAACAATGTAATTTTAAAAGATTAATATGGCAATTCATGGGAAATATTCATTAAGGAAAAATAACAAATGAATAAATAAGCAAAATTCTGAAAGAAAGAGAAGAATATCATTGATTACAGAGCAGATTTTTGAAGATTATAAATGAATCTTTTGAGTGACAACATGGGCCATTAAGAAACAAAAACTTGAATAGATCAACAACCATGAAAAATAATAAGATTATAGAAGAAGTAATCACCCAGATATATTTTTCAGGCAGTTTACCAACCATCCAAGGAACATGTAATAACCTACAGCTTCTATGGTGCTCACTGGACTTGTGCAATGTGACAATTATAATTGGAAAATTTTAAAACTAATATGGAAGAATAAAATTCTAAAAATAACTGACAATCCTGGAAGAAAAGAAAAAATAATGAAGATGAATTCTATCAGCCATTAACATATTTTATAAGGCTACAATAATTAAGGTAGTACCGTACTAATAGAAAAGGAAGCCGGATCAATGTATATCCACCTTATACCAATGTTTCACACAAATATAATAATTTAGACAACAAAAATTACTGGAAAGGGTTACAGGTTCATGTATTAGTGAAGCTATTTTAGGGTACAACTTGGTAGCATCTGGTAAAATTAAGTATATGCATAGCCCATGCTCTGTTCTTTTGGCTTTAAATTCTCAGAGAAACTTTCATACCTGATTTACATACAAAGAGGAAAGTATAAATATGCTCATTGTAGTATTGTTTGTAACAGCAAAGCCTTGGAAGTATCTATAAATATCCATCTAGGTAAAAAGACAAATTAATGTTGTATGAGGTATATTTTAATGCTAAAATAACATATATCAAATGTAGACAGATCTTAGGAAAGGCTCTGTGAAACAAAATTCAAAAATAGAATGAGTGGCACATCAAAATATAACAGTATAGATGCTTTAAGTGAATACAAAACATATATATCCTGTATACATCACATATACAAAATATATATTATATATTATTTTACATTTTATATGTACTTATATAAAAAGAAAGAAATAGAAAGTACATACATAAGGAAAGCAGAAGTGAGTGGGAATGGCGATTGTATTTTTTTTATTTTAAAGAAGATATAAAGTAAGTCTATTAAATTCATGAATGCTTGTTTGAGTGATGTTTTGGCACTGAAAATCAATTAAAGAGCTAGATTCACATTGGAATGATACACTGCAGAACATAGAAAAAAAATTAGAGGAAAAAACTAACAAGCAGAGAGTGCCAGCATCTCTCAGTCTTTCACCAATCTTCCTGTACAAGAAATAAACAAAAATATTGATGGAAGCTCTGGATTTCCATAGGTCATGAAATTAGAGAATTCAAGTCACCACTGTCATCTAGATAATACAAGCCTGTAGCAGATCTCAACTGACATCCCACTTAGATTTATAACAATCAAACTTTTATTGAGGGCAAACCATATCTTAATTTAGTTAAGCTCGACAACTCACAATATGTTTCTTATGCATAAGATATTGTGCTAGAGGCTGCTTTGGCTTATGAGATGATTGTAAGGGCAGAAAAGATGTCTTTTAATCACATTTATAGAATATCCAAAATAGCGTCACACATTCAAATTACTCATCAGGCTCAGAGAAGTTTAATGACTTGCCCGATATCACACAGCTAATATATGGACTAAAAATGAGAAGCTGAGATACTGAAAGTTCTGAGCAATTTAGATAGATGCTAAAAATGAAATTAGAAGAATAAATTCACAGCAATATTTTATTTAAATGAAAAAGAATAACCAATATTAAATGTAGAAGTAAATATAATTTAATGACATGAAAATTATGGTAATATCATATTGTGTGGGGACCAAAGATAGAAGTAGGCCACTGCAGAAATAAAAAAAGTATATAAATGAAAATAATAACATGTTATCTACACTAGATGATGTGTTTTTATTGTTGCTTTCCCTCTAACATAAATAGTTTGACCTCAAGACCTCAATGCAATGCCTCTCTCATACTGAACCTATTGTCACTTGGTGGTCTTCCAGCACAGAGCCTGATCTGTCAGAGTCTTATCTAAATCAGACGTCACCACAGCTCTCTTGTATCATGATCCACAGCTTTTATGGTCACTGGTATGACCTTATTTAGGCAGTAATAGTTACATTGTCAGTGACAACGATATAGTAGTCCCATCCTTATCTACAGGGGATACATACTAAGACCACCAGTGGAGGCCTGAAACCACAGATAGTACCAAACTCTCCATATACTACTATGATTTCCTCATATATACATAACTTCTAATAAAGTTTAATTTATAAATTAGGCATAGTACAACATTAATGACAACTGGAAATAAAATATAACAACTATAACAACATGCCAATTGGAATGTTGTTAAAATTGAAGATTATAGATTGAATATATTATTAAATAAAAAAGAATTATTTGAACTGAAGCATTATAATACAACAGTTGACTGATATTCAAGAGGGCTACTAAGTGACTAATGAGCAGACAGTGTGTACAGTGTGAATGCACTTGACAAAGGACATGATTCATGTCCCAGGCAGGAAAGAGCAGGATAGCACCAGATTTCGCCACACCTCTCACAATGGCCCATAATCTAAAATTTATGAATTGATTGTCTCTGGAATTTTTCATTCAATAATTTTAGGCAACAGTTAAATGAGGATAACTAAAACCACAAAAATGAAGATAACTAAAACCACAAAACCAGGGATGAAGGAGGATGGCTGTAATTGCTCAATTAATCATCTAATTGTTAAATGATGCAAAATCAGGACGAATCCACTAATATGTAACACTATTTTTTTAACTTTCCACAAGCAATTTGGAAACTGAGTGTATACACAAGTAGGTGAACACGATTTGATAATAGATCATAAATTCACATTTTAGCATGGGCAGCCTCTGGTACAGCATTTCCATTCTTTGAACAGAAAATTTTATTCTGATTGCTATCCCTGCCCAGGGCCAGAGAAGAAATGTGAAGATTATTGTTCTCCTAAAAAAAAAAAGACATAAATATAAGCCAACATCATTAGCCACTCATTCAATACTCCAGTAATGATTGATGTGAATAGGGAAGTGTTAGTCTCTTGGGATTGTTCAGAGTGGCTCATGACAGCAATAGAATTATTGCAGTCAGCCATAAGTCATCGATGTTGCTGCACTTCCCTTAAAAAAACTCTATCCCCATGGCCTTAAGAGTTTGCACAGCTATTCTGCCTTATGTATTTAACATTGGATTTCTTATTCAATCTCTGAAAGGAGTTTCTATTGAAATATAAATTTGAAATTGTATTTTAACTTCCTTATCCATAAAAACAGGTGATACAACTTGATATTCTTAAAATGTTTTCTTTTTCTCAGTCAGAATTTTTCATACTTATTTTAAAGGGATTTTTACTGGCTTCCTTTCTTATATTTGACTTCTTATCTCAGTGCTCTATTGCCCAAATTAAAATTGAAGGTTTGCTTCTGAAGAATATATTTAGAGCATATAGAGTCAGGACATATAGAATAGAATGAGCATAGGATACTTTCCTTAGTCAAGACAACTTTTTTTAAGTGCAAAACAAAAAAGAAATAAATCCTCTATAACTTCAGAAGTGTAATGTGTGATAATTTGTGAGAAGTAAATATTTTTATTTATTCTAAGATGACACAAAGGTGATGGGAAAACTGATGGCCTGGTGGAAGGTAATTTTGAGAGTTTTTTGGTCTGTGGGTCAAGAAAAAAACAAAATGGATATTGGGGCCACCAAATTGGTTACTTAACTAAATAAAAAGGATCTTGTAAGAAAGAAGAACAGCCAGTTCAAGAAAGAAAGAGTCAACATGTTTGTTTTCTCTACCTCCCAAAATCCCATTAAAATGACAGAAAACATATAATAAAAATAAATCTTAGCTCGACGCTTCAGAGGCGACGCGAGATGGCGGCAGCGACGGCGACCTCAGGAGCTGGTCGCTGTCGGCTAAGCAAGATAGGAGCTAGTCGTCGCCCACCTCCAGCTCGCCTAAGGGTGGCTGTGCGACTGCGGCCATTTGTGGATAGAACAGCTGGAACAAGCGATCCCCCCTGTGTGCGGGGCATGGACAGCTGCTCTCTAGAGATTGCTAACTGGAGGAACCACCAGGAGACTCTCAAATACCAGTTTGATGCCTTCTATGGGGAGAGGAGTACTCAGCAGGACATCTACACAGGTTCAGTGCAGCCCATCCTAAGGCACTTGCTAGAAGGACAGAATGCCAGTGTGCTTGCCTATGGACCCACAGGAGCTAGGAAGACACACACAATGCTGGGCAGCCCGGAGCAACCTGGGGTGATCCCACGGGCTCTCATGGACCTCCTGCAGCTCACAAGGGAGGAGGGCACCGAGGGCCGGCCATGGGCCCTGTCTGTCACCATGTCCTACTTAGAGATCTACCAGGAGAAGGTATTAGACCTCCTGGACCCTGCATCAGGAGACCTGGTGATCCGAGAAGACTGCCGGGGGAACATCCTGATTCCGGGCCTCACGCAGAAGCCCATCACTAGCTTTGCTGATTTTGAGCGGCACTTCCTGCCAGCCAGTCGAAACCGGACTGTAGGTGCCACCCGGCTCAACCAGCGCTCCTCCCGCAGTCACGCTGTGCTCCTGGTCAAGGTGGACCAGCGGGAACGTTTGACCCCATTTCGCCAGCGAGAGGGAAAACTCTACCTCATTGACTTGGCTGGGTCAGAGGACAACCGTCGCACAGGCAACAAGGGCCTTCGGCTAAAAGAGAGCGGAGCCATCAACACCTCCCTGTTTGTCCTGGGCAAGGTGGTGGATGCGCTGAATCCGGGCCTTCCTCGTGTACCTTACCAAGATAGCAAGCTCACTCGCCTACTGCAGGACTCTCTGGGTGGCTCAGCTCACAGCATCCTTATTGCCAACATTGCCCCTGAGAGACGCTTCTACCTAGACACCGTCTCCACACTCAACTTCGCTGCCAGGTCTAAGGAGGTGATCAACCGGCCTTTTACCAATGAAAGCCTGCAGCCTCCCGTCTTGGCACCTGTTAAGCTGTCTCAGAAAGAATTCCTTGGTTCACCAGAGGCAAAGAGAGCCCGAGGCCCTGAGGAAGAGGAGATTGGGAGCCCTGAGCCCATGGCAGCTCCAGCCTCTGCCTCACAGAAACTCAGCCCCCTACAGAAGCTAAGCAGCATGGACCCGGCCATGCTGGAGCGCCTCCTGAGCTTGGACCATCTGCTGGCCTCCCAGGGGAGCCAGGGGGTCCCTCTGTTGAGTACCCCAAAGCGAGAGCGGATGGTGCTCATGAAGACAGTGGAAGAGAAGGACTTGGAGATTGAGAGGCTTAAGATGAAGCAAAAAGAACTGGAGGCCAAGATGTTGGCCCAAAAGGCTGAAGACTCAAAGGCAAAGGAGAACCCTTATCCCACAATGCTCCGGCCCTCTTCGCATCGCACAGTCACAGTGGCAAAGCCCCTGAAAAAGGCTGTGGTGATGCCCCTACAGCTAATTCAGGAGCAGGCAGCATCCCCAAATGCCGAGATCCATATCCTGAAGAATAAAGGCCGGAAGAGAAAGCTGGAGTCCCTGGATGCCTCAGAGCCTAAGGAGAAGGCAGAGGACTGCTGGGAGCTACAGATCAGCCCAGAGCTTTTGGCTCATGGGCGCAAAAAAATACTGGATCTGCTGAAGGAAGGCTCAGCCAGGGATCTCCGCAGTCTTCAGCGCATTGGCCCGAAGAAGGCCCAGCTCATCGTGGGCTGGCGGGAGCTCCACGGCCCCTTCAGCCAGGTGGAGGACCTGGAACGCATGGAGGGCATAACAGGGAAACAGATGGAGTCCTTCCTGAAGGCGAACATCCTAGGTCTCGCCGCCGGCCAGCGCTGTGACCCGTCTTGACCGCTGTTTCCTCACTCCGCCTTTTTTTTAAATCCTTGTATAACCCCGTGTTTGTAAATACAGTTTTTGCTCCGGTGAAAAATAAATAAATAAACAAATAAATAAATTTTATGGTTTTAGAGAACAAACGCATTGCCGAAACAAAGTACAAGGACTTTCTGGAACAGAGAGAGACTATATCTGGCATCAGATACATGCAGAAACAACAGCACAGAGTACAAAAAATACAAAATACAAAAAAGGCCAAAATACAAAAAAAGATTTTTAAAGAGACTAAGAGCCATACTTTACAATAGAATTATTGATAAACCACACAGCATCAACAAGTACAGAAGACAGAAGCAAACTGTGGGCAATTAATAATTGCAGTAATGGAAATTATGAACTAGTAATCTCACTTCTTCTGTAAGGGAGATGGATGGAGATATGAACTTCGGTTTAGCTTTATAAAATTGCATAAGACTAAATCTGTAAATAAAGTCGATGGAGGAGCAGTTACTTTCTTGTATAAATGTGTATTTATACACATGCACATACACACTAACTTCACATATAAACTTATACCCTGACAAAAGAGTAACTTAAACACCACAAAAAGGAACTTATAACTCTGTTTCATAAAATGGGATTATATTATAAAAATTATCTGAAGCAATGAATAAAAATTCATAAGATTTTCTGTCATGTGCCAAATTTCAGAATATATGATAGAATATAAAGAATATAAGAATGAGAGAAATTGCTATGATTAAATTGTATGAAATGAAGGATGATTATTCTAACCATAATATCTAACAAAACTTATTTCACTCAATCTAATAAGACTTATTGGTTGATTTTGAAGGGAATCTGTTTAATGAATTGTAATCTACAATTTAATTAAGAAAATACAACTAAAAATTAACCCAACAGGTAACCTTGAGATTACTATATAATATTACCAGTGAACATTATACAGTTAATTTTGTGTGCCACAAAGATCAAGATTACAATCACAGTCAAGAAGAGAACTGGATCACCATGATAATACAACTGCCAATGCTTCACGCTTTCATTGTGATGGTTCAAGAAATATTTTGTTTGAAATGATATGGCTAAATCCCTATGTATCATTTAGTTTTCATTTAGCTGCAAGTAAGAGAAAACTCAGCTAACAGTTGGCATTTAATTATCTCAAATAATGAGAAGTCTTGAAGCAAGCAGTTCAAGGGATACTGAAAAATCTCAATGACTTTAAGTGACAATTTTTGATATAAACTTGTAACTCAAATGTATGAGGATACTGACAAAGAAGTAACTGAGGTGACCATCAAATAAAAAAAAATACCTTCAACACATAGCTAAGGTCTACTTCAACGTAGTTATATATCATAACTTATTCCTCTGCCTCCTGTTTGTCAATTTATGTAACTTTGTTATTTTAATAAAATATGCATGCTAATTTCTAGAATTTTAAAATATGAAAGAATTTGACCTTGTACATAAAAAAAGAAAAACATAAATGAATAATTTTAGTACATTATGGCTTAACTCAAAATAACAACATTATCAGGTATTCAAGGACCCAGAAAATTCAGCATGTACTCACTCCTACTAAAAACAGTTTACTCCTGGACATATTTCAGTAAAACAAAAACTCAATCTAAGAGACAAACATGGGATCCAAGAAACAGTGAAATCACCTAATGTATTAGTCTGGTGGATGCTATAACAAAATACCACAGAATGGGTGACTTCACAAAAAATTATTTTGCGGAAGTCTGGAACCTGGAAATCCAAGATTAGGATACCAATATATTCAGTTCCTGATAAGGGCTCTCTTGATAATGTACTAACAGCCACCATTTCACTGTGTGCTCACATGACCTCTTCTCTGTGCTTGGAGAGACAGCACTCTGGTTCCCTTCTTAGAAGGATACTAACCCTTTCAGATTGGGGGCCCAACTTTATGACATTACTTAATTTTAATTACCTCCTAAAGACCCTGTTTCCAAATATAGGTGCATTTCAAGTTAGAGTTTCAACATATGAATTTTGGGGAGGCACAATTTAGTCCATAGCACTTTAGGTGTTCAATTAAAAAAAGAACTTTATGTAAAAGCTGTGTCATCAGTTAATTATATATATATATATATATAGTATATATTATTGGTTCAAATTAGAACAGGAAATCTGGGATATTTGTGGAAAAGTCTTCAAATTAGACTGAATATTTTATGTAGGCCATATGAGTAAGAATAAATAAATTAAATTATTATGTGATTTAATGTGAAAGCATTCCTCTTTTTATCAACAGAAAAAAATTAAAAGTAGAAACAAATACAAATAAAAAGTTATGATCCAAACCAAGTAATCATACATAGTATGATTTTGAGTAATTGATTAGATTATAAAAAATAACAGTTCTTGAAATAACAAAGCCAAAACATTTAGTCAAATAATTCAGATATATAAATAAGACTAGCACTCTGAATTCAAGCTTTCTTCTTTTATAAATCTGGCTTTTCATACTTAAAGAGTAATCTTAAAGATATATTAAGATTTTAAACTTGTTTTTATATTAACGAAAGGCAATCTGATTTTGTAAGATGGTACATTAAGTTTTTCCTTCTGGAAACTTTACCCTCTGAGAAATATGAAGCTCTAATGTCACACTAATAACTCCCATCACAATAATAAAATGTTATCAAATATCTTTTTATTTTTCCTTGATCTTTAACTTTGGAAAAATATTTTATCAACTAATAATACATTTTTTAAAAATAACTAAAGTCTAACATTTTCATTTTAGTATATTTTTCCTTCTGTGAAATTCAAGTATAATTAAGCTTAATGTATTTCAAGATGTCAACCACCATTCTTTGAATGACAGGAATATGAACAGTTTCCACTTTATTTTTGATACTTTTTGATATTTTTTAAGTTTTCTGATTTTATTCTTAAAATCAGAACAGGCTGATGAATGTTATTTTTAATTAAAAGAATAATTATATCGATGGAACATATCTCAAGGTAATAAAAGCTATTTATGACAAACCAACAGCCAATATTATACTGAATGGGCAAAAACTGGAAGCATTCCCTTTGAAATCCGGCACTAGACAAGAATGCCCTCTCTCACCACTCCTATTCAATATAGTACTGGAAGTTCTAGCCAGAGCAATTAGGCAAGAAAAAGAAATAAAGGGTATTCAAATAGGAAAGGTGGAAGCCAAATTGTCTCTATTTGCAGATGACACGATAGTATACCTAGAAGACCCCATCGCCTCAGCCCAAAAACTCCTGAAACTGATAAGCAACTTCAGCAAAGTCTCAGGATATAAAATCAATGTGCAAAAATCACCAGCATTCGTCTACACCAATAACAGACTTAAAGAAAGCCAAATCAAGAATGAACTGCCATTCACAATTGCTACAAAAAGAATAAAATACCTTGGAATACAACTCACAAGGAACATAAGAGACCTCTTCAAGGAGAACTACAAACCACTGCTCAACGAAATAAGAGAGGACACAAACAGATGGAGAAACATTCCATGTTCATGGTTAGGAAGAATTAATATCGTGAAAATGGCTATACTGCCCAAAGTAATTTACAGAATCAACGCTATCCCCATCAAGCTACCATTGACTTTCTTCACAGAACTGGAAAAAACCACCATGAACTTCATATGGAACCAAAAGAGAGCCCGCATAGCCAAGTCAATTCTAAGCAAAAAGAACACAGCGGGGGGCATCACACTACTGGATTTCAAACTATACTACAAGGCTACAGTAATCAAAACAGCATGGTACTGGTACCAAAACAGAGATATAGACCAATGGAACAAAACAGAGGCACCAGAGGCAACACAACATATCTACAACTATACAATCTTTGATAAACCTGACAAAAACAAGCAATGGGGAAAGGATTCCCTATTAAATAAATGGTGTTGGGAAAACTGGCTAGCCATGTGCAGAAAGCAGAAACTGGACCCCTTCATGACACCTTACACTAAAATTAACTTCAGATGGATTAAAGACTTAAACATAAAACCTGGCACCATAAAAACCCTAGAAGGAAATCTAGGCAAAACTATCCAGGACATAGGAGTAGGCAAGGACTTCATGAACAAAACACCAAAAGCATTGGCAACAAAAGCCAAAATAGACAAATGGGACCTAATCAAACTCTACAGCTTCTGCACGGCAAAAGAAACAGTCACTAGAGTGAATCGGCAACCAACAGAATGGGAAAACATTTTTGCAGTTTACCCATCTGACAAAGGGCTGATATCCAGAATTTACAAAGAACTCAAACAGATTTACAGGAAAAAACAAACAAGCCCATTCAAAAATGGGCAAAGGATATGAACAGACACTTTACGAAAGAAGACATATATGAAGCCAACAATCATATGAAAAAATGCTCATCATCACTGGTCATTAGAGAGATGCAAATCAAAACCACATTGAGATACCATCTCACGCCAGTTAGAATGGCGATCGTTAAAAAATCTGGAGACAACAAATGCTGGAGAGGATGTGGAGAAAAAGGAACACTTTTACACTGTTGGTGGGAGTGTAAATTAGTCCAACCATTGTGGAAGACAGTGTGGCGATTCCTCAAGGCCTTAGAAATAGAAATTCCATTTGACCCAGCAATCCCATTACTGGGTATATACCCAAAGGACTATAAATCGTTCTACTATAAGGACACATGCACACGAATGTTCATTGCAGCACTGTTTACAATAGCAAAGACCTGGAATCAACCCAAATGCCCATTGATAATAGACTGGATTGGGACAATGTGGCACATATACATCATGGAATATTATGCAGCAATCAGAAATGATGAGTTCGTGTCATCTGTAGGGACATGGATGAATCTGGAGAACATCATTCTCAGCAAACTGACACAGGAACGGAAAATGAAACACCACATATTCTCACTCATAGGCGGGTGATGAAAAATGAGAACACATGGACACAGAGAGGGGAGTACTCAACACTGGGGTCTATTGGGGGGAAAAGGGGAGGGCCAGTGGGAGGGGGAGGTGGGGAGGGATAGCCTGGGGAGAAACGCCAAAT